GCCAAAACGACGATGGCAAACACGAGAACCCGCCTCCTCCACCAAAGCGACGGGTTAATATGATCATGGGAGGACTCCCCGATTGCGATGACTCGGTTCGTGCCATCAAAGAGTATGGAAAAAAGCAGTCGCATCGCGGAAATTTCCTCGCCTCGTGGTCTATCACCCTACAATCACCTTCACATTAGAAGACATGCACGGGTTACACACCCCGCACAACGACCCGCTGGTGGTAGAACTACACATCCACGACAGCGAGGTGACCAAAATCTTGGTAGACACCAGCAACACGGTCAACATCATCTTCAAAGATACGTTGACTAAGATGGGATTCCAGGATAAAGACATCAAGGCAGCACCAAAGACTTTAACTGGCTTTGCCAGTGAATCTTTCTTCAGCCTCGGCACCATACGACTCGTGGTTTATGCCGGCGGCATAACAAAAATCGTTAAATTTACGGTGATGGACAAACCAGCAATCTACAATGCCATACTTGGCACACCGTGGATCCATGAGATGAAAGCAATTGTGTCGACTTATCATCAATGCATGAAATTCGTCACTTCGGCCGGAGTCTTTACGCTTCGCGGGGATCAGCAGATGGCAAGATCTTGCTTCATCAGCGAACGTAAAGTACAACTCTCAACAGCAAGAGCACTTGAAGACACCAAATAAACGACAAAGACTAAACAACGAGCCTTAGCCTTTTCTAATTTTTTTTTCAATAAAACCGGGCTTAGCCCCTGAGTGATACCACTCATTCAATACTTGTAATAAACTACGAACGGCTTGATCCCAATTCGGGTTCGTAGGCAACCTCCGGGTGTAGCTGTAAATCTAATAAATGTATATTTCAGAAAATCAGCTCGGCGTACAGAGTCAAATTTTCTTATGCGAATGCATCTTGCTGAGTCGATGTTCTGGCCAAACATTTGATTCGAAAAAAGCAAGCACAAATAAACAAAACAAGTGGCTGATCACCACTCTTTTGATGGTTCGGTACGATTTAAATACTTCCAAAGTTGATAAGAAGAAAGCCGAGGACAATACTCGCACGACCCTCGATCATACCGTTCGGGCCAAAGTGAATCCCAAAAAATTGGTATTCGATCTTGATCGTTGTTTGGTATAAGACGGGCAAAGGAATTCCGCTTCCAGTTTTGAACTAAAAAGTTCCATCAAAAAAAAACGAAGAACGATAAAAAGCAATCACAAAACTTTTTCATTAAGGGAATAATAAGCCTTACAAAAGAATAAATACAATAAAAAATCCCGCCGAACTTATTTAAACAGCCCGTCAATATCCGATCTACTCGAGAGATTAAGATCATCACTCGTAACGACTATCTCGTCAATGGCGTCGCTGGCTGTCTTCCACTTGGTGAACTCCCTTTCAAAAGATGGAAGGGTCCCGGCAGGAAGCTCCCACCCTTTCTCTTGCATCTTCTTTAAGAAAGCCACCATATGGCCACTCTTCTCCACACCAACGAGGGCCGCTTCCACCTCTTCGCGCTGAATTAGCGAGGCTTGAATCCGATCTAAACAAGGCTTGAACCAAGCAGACATGCCATCAAAAACCTTGTTAGCAGCATCTCGAGCAACTGCCTCACAAGCCTTTTGAAGCTCCTCCTTCTCGGCAAGAAATTCTTGCTGATTCTCCTCGTTCCGTCTTTCGAGAAGCTCGTTCTGAGCTTGGAGAGTGGCGGCTTGTTTGCGAAGTCGACTGGCTTCGGACACCTCGCTTTTAAAAGTGTCGACAACGCCTTCAAGTTGAGAGCACTTTTCTATGAGAAGCCGATTATATTCCTCCGCCTTATTATGCTCCTTGATCTCGGCACACGCAGCGTTTACATTCGCTTCCTCCGCGCACCAGTTATCATCGTACGCGGCAAACACAGACATATACTTCCCCAGACCCTGTATTACAAAATACTTTCAGAAGCACACCAAAGACAGGAGAAAGGTGAAACAACATAATCATCGGATAAGTAAAATTACCCGAGCTATCAATTGGCTCACCGAGGAGATCAAATCCATCAGCTTCAACTCGCGCAGTGGCTTGCCCCATCGTGGCTTCTCCTTGCACACCAGATTAAATCCGCGGCAAACTCGCAGTTAAGCGTCGCCAGAGTATTCCCATCCCACCTCATGCAAAGATGATGAGGATTATAATCAAAAAACTCCTCCTCTTGCTTGGGCTCAGCCGGAGCGCTTGAATTAGCACCTTCTATGCCGGCGTCCTCTTGAGAAGGAGCAGCCTCCTCAGGAGCACAAGGATCCTCCGTGTCCGGGGCAACCTCGGGAGAGGTCGGCCCTTCGGAATAAGTTGTACCAGGCTCTTCGATCCGCTCTCGACCAACATCTTCTGCGACATGTGTCTCAGGACTTTGAGATACACCTGTCTGGGGCGGTGAACGAACGTCCACATGAGGCGACGATGGAGCATCAACTGAAGGAGAAACAACCTCTCGACGGCTCCCGGCAGCATCTGAAGCATCCTATCTGTCTGCGACTTGAGAGACGGGAGCATAGGACGCCTCACCCTGCGAATCCTTTTCGGCTTTCTCAGCCCACATCTGTCTCAATCTCTCCAGCACCGCTGCCCTAGAGAAACTTTGAGACAATGTAGCATCAGAAATCTCTTCGGTATAATACAATAACACGCGAAGCCGAAGAAATTTACCTCACCAGAGTCTCGGACTCATCGGCCACTTCGGCGTCATCTGAATCCACCAAGCTAGGTTGATCCTGGGAAGCCTTCTTCTTCTTTGCAGAAACGCTCACAAGCACATCGGCCGAAGTCGCCTTCCTTTTTCTCCGACCAGCCTATGCAGGCTTCGGTTGCGAGATCCCTCGCGAAACTAAAATAATAAAAACATTAATAAAAGTCGTCAACCAGTCAATATTGTTCTAATTCAACAACCTACCTGCTTTCAAGGGTTTGGCTTTCTTCTCGACAGGCTTAACCGGCTTCTGACGAACGGCCCCCTTCTTCTCCTTTTCGGCCCACAACTGCCGACTCAGGTCGCGTAGCCTCTTGACGTCTTCGTCAAACCCGATAGGGTCCTCTTCCAGACGTAGTTCCACTACAACGACGAAAACGTATTGGTACTCAGCAAATCGTCGACATAAAAAAAATTCAAAAATCAGTATTTTCCTTACATGGCGCCCATCTCCAAGCTTTGAAGAGGGTAAGATCGAAACCACCAATGGATGCTTCATTAACCTTCACAAAAAAGAAATACCGGTCCCACTCGTGGACCTTGCTCGTCGGATCACCACCTATGATCCCCTCTTTCATCATGGTGTAAAAATGGCGCCATCCGCCACGATTCACCCTTCCTCTCTTCAAGATGGATATCCTTTCAAAAATATCCCAGTTGAAAGGAACCATAGCTGCACGAGCCACCGCTGCCAAGCTATTGAAGTGACGGATTACAGCATGGGTAAGCTGCGCCACCGGCATCTTCCTTCGTTCAAAATAACGGAGAAGCAACGAGATCGGGAACTGACAGCCGAACTCCGCGAAATGACACTCGTATAAACAAAAATAGCCCTCTGGGGGTGTGGTCACTCTCTCGTGAACTTGAGGGAGCAGCAGTTTGACCTCGTCGGGAAAACCGCACTTCGAACGAAGCTCCTCAAGCCTTTTCGCGGTCATCCAAGTCCTTCCATCTTTAACACCGGTCCTGTGCGGCGACATTGCAATCTTCTCAGGGAGACCCTCGATCCTGATCGCCGATTCAAAACTTGAAGGCCCAGGACCATCCAAATCCACTTTGGAGTCCGCATCAGGATGATCCGAAGGAATCTCATCCCGATAGCCTGAAGAGCTCTCGGAAATGGAAGAAGTAGAAGCAATTAGACTAATCCAGGCCCGTTTGGCACGGTCAGCGAGAAAAATCTCATCGTCATCAAAGGAAGAATGCGAAGAAGCAGCAGACATCTTTGAAATTTTTGGACGAAACAAAGAGAGCAAAGGAAAAATAGGCGAATCGCTATAGAAGACTGCTGCAGAAATCGGCAAAAGATACGGAGATTTTCTAAAAAAGCAAGAAGATGAAGAGGTAAAAGTAAAGTAAATAAAATCAGAAAGAAATATCAACAATTTCCTAAGAAGACGTGTGTCAAGATTTTTGCAATCTCGCCGTTTGGCGAACCTTTCGTATTTCCCGCTAAAAGCAGAAACCCTAATGGGTGGGAGTATTCAATAAATAAAAATGCCACGTGGCGAATCCGCTTGAAAACTAGCCGATCTGGCTATCACAAAAGCAACGCTCTTGAGGAACTAACAGTTATTGCGAGGTCAGAAAGAACAACTCATACAATCTAGAGAGCAGCAGAGCTAAAACCAGAGACTCTAACGCTTTCTAGTTTACTTCGCAAACTTTGTTTTCACTTCGGCATAACCTCTCGGTTATATCTTTTCTTTGTAATCGCTACGCTTTCTTACTAATAATAAAAGATCTTATTCTCCGAAACTCACAATTGTTAATCAAATCCTAATAGTGATTTTTTGGTTCAACAGACGGAGATTGCAATGAATTAACTGTTGAGAGTGTATGAGACGCCACTTGTTGGAAAGTTGGGGAAGCATATTTAATCCCAATTTATAAATTAATAATGAACGAACATTCGGTAGTCTATTTAATATTTAGAGCAAACTTCATAAACCTCTCTGTTTCTCATGATATGGCAAAACCAAATAGACCCCATTCCCATACATTGCGTTCCTTTAACCATAATAGCTAGCCTGTATTATTTGTAACAACAAAAATCTGTTTACAATATCAACAACAGTTCACAAAATGATGAAGGAGAAACATTTTTAACTGTCCAAAGAAAAGGAAAAATAGCATATTTGTTTTTGCTTTATTTGAGCTCTGATACTAAATTTCAATAGTACACAAATTTGACAACACCCAAAAACTAACTATTGTCCATTTTCTCAAGAAAACAGAGACAAAGAACTTGTAATCGTTTTTGGTTTGTATAGTTTTTAGCTTTGATTTTCATTCCCAAAAGCTTCATAAGACCGGTTCATGGAAGGAACGAAAGCAGAAGGCTGTTTAGTAACAGCAGTCAAGATCTCTCCATAGCCCACAACTCCAACAAGAATATCATCATCAGAATCAGCCTCTGTAACCCAAACATGAGTAGCTCTATGAGAGAGCATCTGAGCCATAACCGCAGCTAATGAGCTCGATGTTTTGCAAGTTAACGGCGCACTCCTTCCCCTGTACATGCTCCTACCGATGCTCAGCCTCGTAGGGCTTGTTGGATTAAAACCAATGCTTCTGCTACTGAACTTCTTGGCCTTTGTTGTTGCTGTTGTACCGTTCTGCTCTCCTCCCACAAATGAAGTCTGGAGGAAGTCACTGAATGATCTTGATGACATGTTGTCCTCAACTCCCATCACAAACTGTCCTGCATATAGATTAGCTAGAGCCCAAGCTGCAGCAAGATAATCGCATTTCCATAGCTTTGAAGCTGAGATTTCTCCTATGATCTTGAACTCTTTTTCGTTTTCAGTTTGTTCCAACACAGCTATTGCACTAGGGTCACAAGGCGGCCTTTTGGTGGCTTCGATAGCTGGAAAAGAGGCTTCAATGAAGTTGAAGTTTAGATTGATGATATCAAGAGAGGAGATTGATGTGAGAGGTAAAGGAGCTAATGCTCCAAGGACGCCTATAAGGAACCGGATCACGTCTTCCCTCGAGAGACAGCAAAACTTGTCCCGGCTTGAAGCTTTTGAAGTTGCAGGCCTGTTGGTTGAGTCAGCATTGAGACCACTGCTACTGCTAGAGTTTTCACTGTTCTTTAGCCATTTTCCGTTGTAAAGAATGGAGAATCTCTTGCTCATACCTCTCCAAACAACACTTTTGGGAACAAGAAGCCGTCTCACTCCTTGTTTCATCATCTCCAAAGCATCTATCAACCTTGCATCACAATAGATAAAACACAATCAACTCCATAAACACTCATACATCTTGCCTTGCAATAAATCTGGAAGGTAAATGATAATGGCTTTTTACAGTCTCTAAAACAACACAGCTTTTAAAATTCTCAGAGGAACAATGTCAATAAGTAACAAACAAAGATTATTATATCTAGTCTTATGGAATCCATACTCCCAGAGAAATTCCGAACAGTTTTCCACAGCAATTAATGTTAGGTGAAAGGAAATAAATCATAAAACTGACATCTTAATTTACTTAGGGGTTCATGGTTAATATCTATTTAGATGACTCATAGAAGTCTATGGACACGATTATAGACAAATAACTATCTTTTTGTTAAAGACAAAAAGTAATCCTATAATGTGTGCTTAAGACAAAAGTCCATGTGATCGATCATGTCTTCCCTGTTTTTTTTTCTATTAGATGATGACATAGAGTTATATCAATTCTATTACAAAGGTAGTTGCAGATATAAAAGAAGTATTGACTAAGGTCTAAGCAAGGTAAGGGAAATTGAGAAAGAAAAAACAACATAAAGTCAACAAGATTAAAATTTTTAAAACTTTTTTCTTTATAGTAATTGGGTTTTCCCAGATGTTTGAAACATTTTCTTAAAGACTGAGCACAAGAAAACATTGTATACTTCATTTTGCAAACCAAGGTTGATAATTTGAGGCACGAGGCCATGTTCCCTTGCTATATAATCTAGTCAATAAATAAAGGTCCCACTTTCTCGTACCTATATTAAAATGAAATCAGATGAAATTTTGGGTATCTATGCTTATGGCCTATATTATGAGCTTCGCAGCGTAGATCCCACCATGTTAAGAGATTCAATCAATTATCACTACACGAAAGAAACGAAAAAACGGGATCTTGGTTAAATTTCAAGTTGAATCGAGTGACCAACTTTGGATTCAGCTATATCTAGGCTAAAACAGTAATTTAGGAATAAAAAACATACTGACTTTAGCAATTTTACTTAAGATGTGACATTTTTCTAGTAAAGACAAGACTACGCAAGATCCTAGAAATATGCAACTAAAAATCAAAATAGTCTCGGACACTTAGAATAGAACTAAACCGGAACGAAATGACCAGCTTTGGGTGATTCAACAGAAAAATTGGTTAGTTTTCAAAGTTGAATTGAGTGATCAACTTTGGATTCAACTTGATCCAGGCTCAAAACCGTAAAACTTAGGAATCAAAAATCAAATTGTCTTGCCATTTGCATTAAGATGTGACCTTTTCCAGTGATATCCTAGACATGGCTCTTTGGTCACACATCCTATGCTTTATAACTATGCAAGATGTAACGAAAATCGATATAGTTTCGGACACATCGAATAGAACTATACCGGGAATAAAGTCACCAACTTTGGATGATTCAACTAGAATCAAAACAGTATAATTAACGAATGAGCAAATGAGCAAATGAGCAAAACAGTATAATTTACGAATCACACATCAAACAGAATCAAAACCGAGAACCATTCAAGAAACATACACTCAAATTTGTCAGGCAGTTTTTTCACATAGTTAAACTTGAGATGTGACCCTTTTTAGCAAAGTTGAGATCCTAGATATATGCAACTAAAATCGAACTAGTCTCAGAACACACAACGAACAGAACTAAGCCAAGAATCATTCAAGAAACATAAACTAAAATTTGCCAGCTTTACGACATAAATTGAGCTAGAAATGTGACCGTTTGTACTAAATATCCTAGATGTATGCAACTAAAATCAAACTAGTTTCATACACATTGAATAGAACTAAACCGAGAATCAATCAAGAAATCAGAAACTCAAATTTGAGAGCTTTACGACATAAACTGAGCTAGAGATGTGACCCTTTTCTAGTAAAATTGATATCCCAGATAAATGCAACCAAAATTGAAATTATTCGAGAGACAGAAACTCAAAGTTGCGAGGTTTATGATCTAACCTTGTGCCAGGATCAACTTGTTTGAGGAGAGTATTGTTAGGACAAACAACCTCAGAGACAGGGATCTTCATAGCTTTTTCCTCTTGCAAACACTCACTCTTAGCCAAGAAAGCAACGATATCAAGAGAATTCAAAATCCCCACGAACCTATGTTGCCTCATCTCGCTATTCTCCACGAACCCAGGAATCGACGGCGTCGATCTCTTCCTCCAAACCGGAATCCCACACTCCGTCGACTCTCCGATAGCTCGAATCGCAGATTCCACAGTCTCCGTCTCGTAAAACTCCACCATCTCTGGCTTCCCCACCGTTAGATCTCCCACCACGTGATACAAGAAAACCGAAGCCATCACTATAAAAGATCTCTAGAATCGAAGGAGTGAAAAAGGGGAAGGAGTTATAAGAGGGAGTGGAGAAAGACGAGGAGGATGTGAAGACCGGTGACTGGTGATCGGAGAAGGATTAAGAGGAGGAGAGAATTCGACATTGAAATCCCATGAAGTGTTCTTGATAGATTTGTTTGTTTGGTGACACTCAAGAGAGACTCTGATCAGACTTTGTGGATAGAGATCAAAAAGCAGACCGATTTTTGTGTCCGTATAAGTTAATACGGAAAGTTGTGATTGTGATGAAATTTGTAATGCTGTGTATAATTTAACCAGAATAATATTTGGAAACATACTGTGTATATAATTTGAACATTTTTTTTGGGGGGGCTAATTTCTGTTTTGATTAAATCAAAAGTGAATTTATGATACAAGAGAACATTTAGGAAGAAATACACTTTCAAGAAAATCTTTACAAAATAAGGCACTTAAAGAAAGTAAGGCACTTCGGTTAATAATTGAGATATAAAGTTCCTATTTTATTTTTAACGAGGATTTTAGCGAATAATCAGTTTGTAGATGGATTTAAGGTTTAACTGAGAGATTGGAAAAGTCATAATTGATACGCCGTCCTAGAATAACTGCAGAGGGAGTGCATTTCAGACGTTTAAGGAAGAAACGGTGATAAATTTGTTTATGGGGCAACAAGGTATTGACGATGATAAACTTTTTTGTGAAAGCCTCACATGGTGGGAGGAACGAAGTCGGGTGTCTGCTGCTGAGTATGTTGTATGCTTAGTGATCAACACAGTAGAGGTATTTAGCCGAGAATGATTGCGAGGGGACACTTTCGTGTGTTTAATTGTTGAAGTTCACAATTTATCGTGAACAGTTTTTCTTCTGGGTGGCGGTACATATTATAACGGTATTTTGGCCGGAGTAAGGTGTACGAGTTGGGATGGACGTCATCTGGGTGTTGTAAATTCGTTGTTCAATTGTAAGAGTTCGTACTGGTGGTTCGTCGTACATATATATATTAATTTATGGATAATGTGGTTTACTAGATCAGCAAACATATAATATTGATGTGGACGTTAATTGGTCGGCGACGTATGATAGACATCATATTAGCAATATCTATAAACACGACCATATGGACTCTAAAACATGGACACAAACACTACATAATTACAAAAACAAAATCATCAGTTCACATGGACTCATCTTTGTGGACATCCAAACATACATCCATCACCTCGTGATGCTCATTTCTCATCCATCATTGGTTATTATGATTGATGATTCACCAATCAAAGATGTTCAGATTGCCTTGCTTCAAGCTCTTAAAAGTCAATAATATTTTTTTTGGAATAATGATTTCTTAGCGATTTAAAGTGGATGCATATGAAATCACTTATCCATATTCATATGTCCAAATGTCCATGATTTTTATTCAACAACCTTTTCATGTTTACACCATTAAGTCAAACACCATTAATTCAGGATTCTAAACTCCTATATATATTCATATCCATGAGTCCATATATTTTATTTCACGGATCTGAGAACCGTATACTAAATGTATCACTTGACGACATGTCCATATTTGATTGTCCATAATTTTGTTTATATGATCCATCGATACTAGTAATTGTGGATGACTATCTTTTCATTCTTCATACTCAATCCCACTCTAGATAGTGGTGAAGGCCTGTAACAGAAAGAGTTGAAACATATCAATTAGTTTGATCATATGTACTAATGGATTTTTAGACGAATGAGTACATGAGATATTTCATAATGAATAAATTACAATGATAAGTTAGATGGATGAGAAACATAAATGAGATATATGGATGGTGTGTCCATCTATCCATATAGATATCCTAGATGGATGTCATATATGGATGCCGACATGCGATGAACAAGTGGGGATGGGTGGATGAATGTTACGAACAAAACTAACAATAATAAACTAAGTGCGATCTGGTGGATGCAACATGATAGATGAAAGAATGAAATCAAATCAGAGTGAGCGATGTCAAACCCTACAAATTAAAATACGTGAAATCTCACAAGATGAAATGTGGTGGATGAGCAATGGTGGATGAACAATTATGGATGCATAAATGAAATCAGATCGGATCATATCGTATGAATGGATATTGCAGGGTAAGCTCGATGGGTGAAATAGAGTGATGAGTTAAATTATTATACACATGGATGACCTAGATGGATGTTTGTAGATGGATGTACTATATGGATGCTTTGTATGGATGCTCTATACGGATGGACGATATACGTTGCCTATATGGATGCACCGGATGAATGCATTAGCTGCAATATAATGGATGAAAAAGCATTAACCTAATGGATTAGCATTGCATAAGCTTGATAACGTAAAATAGTGATTTTTGAGCAGATGGATGCTACTACATGGATGCTCTGTATGGATGTTCTACATGGATGGTTTGTATGGATTTTCGTAGATGAATGCTCCACATGGATGCTTGTAGATGGTTGCTCTATATGGATGATCTGTATGGATGCTCTATATAAATGCTCTACACAAGCTCTGTATGGATGCTCTATACAGATGGATGTACCATATATGTTTCTTATATGGATGCACCACAACTGTTTCCTATATGGATGCACCTAGATGGATGCATTATATGCAATATGGTGGATGAGAGATGAAAACGAGTCGAAGTGAGAATTATGTAAACAACAAATCCATACAAAATGGATGAGATTAGACAAGGTGGATGGGCATGAACGAGAACATCGAACCTAATTGATGTTATCAGTAAGAGCTCACATGATGGATGAGTCATGGTGGATGAGATATGGTGGATGCATATTAATTTCAGAGAACTCTGAACCAAAACGAACAGAAACATTTAAAGGCGGAGGAATATCAAAATTATTGGAGGAAGGTTTACCTGTCATTACGATGTGAGCTCAATAGAAAATTCCAACCGCCGTTGGCAGAGGCAAAAACTCCAATTAAGGGTTTGGTCGCGTTAACTCTGGCCACCGCCAGGGAATGATGGAGGAGTCCAGTTTAGGTATTCGGTAAAGATGGAAGGTCGTCGAGGATTCAATGCTGGCTAGAGGTGCGGCGATGGAAGATTTGAATTAGGTCATCAAAAATTTAACGGCGTCGACAATTCAATGGCTACAAAGAGTTCGTAAAAATGTAATACATAGATTTCATACTAAAAAGGAGAAAACATAAATAAAAACACAAGGATATAAAAGACTTTTCTTTGATCTAAAGTGTGCTTGTGTAGATTAATGTGTTAATTTGTAAATTTAGTTTGTAGAAGTGTCTTCTTCTGTAAATTTCTCATGATACAATGGGCTAGAGCCCGTTTTGCTAATATATCAGCATTGACATTTAATTTTTGTTTGGTATGTCTAAAGTTAATGTTTTCGAAGCTTCTGACGATACATCGGATATCGCTGACGATGCCGTAGAGTTCCTAAAGCTCCGTCTCCGTGGTGAGCGTCTTGATCATCTGTATGGAGTCAGTTTCATGCTTGAGGCAGTTAAAACCACAGTGTAGGGCATCTTCCATCGCCGATCGGATGTCCATCGCTTCCGCCATCAAAGGGGATCGAACGAACTGGGCGATCGCTGTGCCTTGGATCTAGTTAGTGATTCCTTCTCCCTCGAAGATCTAGCCCAGTCCCGCCATTTTACCGTCACTTCTCCAAGCCGCATCCGATTTGCATGTCACTAAGGTAATATCACTTCTTCTTCCTCTCACTTGAGTGGGTTTGGGCCGGGGTTTTGATCCGGAGTTGTTGAGCTGCTGACCATTCCACCGCATCAATAATTGCTTTGTTTAGCACCTCCATCTCTGAAAACGCTTTGTTGTTAAAGATGAGATTGTTCCGTGCTTTCCAGATGTTCCAGAGGATCTAGGAGGCGAGAGGAGATGTCGCGATGTTATGGGGAGGGAGGCAAAGGAGTCTTTGGAGATGGGTCCATCCCACAGCAAAATTCCAGTCATGTGCCGAGGAGCAGGGTTCGCTAAAAGATGTCGTTTCCCATACTGTCTTCGCGAACATGCAGTGAAGGAAGACATGGGCAATAATCTCCAGCTCTCCACAGCGTATACACGACGGGTCAAGCAGGATCTTCCTGGATTCAAGCCTCTCACCAATAGGGAGCACTCCTCTTGCTACTTTCCATAAGAACAGTTGAATCTTTGGGCCTGTACTAACCTTTCAGATGTCAGGTACCCAATTTATACCACTCGTGTTGTCCATTGTGTTGTCTGAGGTCTCAGATGCTCTTCCTGCAAAAGCTGCATAATAACCCATTTTGTAGTATATAATCCTGACCTGTCTTTTAACCAGATTTGTTTGTTTGCTCTTCTTGAATTGCTTGGTTTCAGGCTAAGGATCTCCTCAGCGTGATTTGGTAGGCATTCGTAGACTCGCCTGGTGTCCTAGATCGTTGTGCCAGGGAGGAAGAGATCAGCTACTATGAAATCTGCTGTTTGCTTCGTAGCAGGTCCCATTGGCGCTAGCTTTTGGTCTAAGGAGATCCAGTAATCTCCCCAGACTTTGACAGATTCTCCATTTCCGATAGCCCAACCCATATGTTTTACTAGAAGGTCTCGACCCACTAGGATCCCAGCCCATCCATGTGAAGTCGATGAGGCCTTTTTGCAATCCAAGAATGGTGTGTTTGGGCAGTATTTGCCAAAGTAGATTCTCGCGAGGAGGCAGTCCGGGTTAGAGTGTAGTCTCCAGCTCAGCTTTGCTAGGAGGGCATCATTTGAACATCTATAATATATAAAAGTTGATGGCATAGTGCATTGGTCCACATCATCGTTTTTCATTAATCACAAAAATGTTAAGTGTGACTAAGATGAAAAAACTCAATATAATTGGTCCACATCAGTGTTTTTCATTAAACATTACATTCATTAAACATTACATTCATTAAAAATATTAAATTTGATTAAAACATTACAAAATTAATTTCTATTTTTTAAAAACATAAA